AGACTCAAGGGTCATCTTATTTTACCCCCCCCCCCCGGGCCAGTGCTCCTCTGAGTGTTGGTCCACCTGTCAGCTACCGGTGGCCACCAGGGGCAACTCTGGGCTGGCCTACCCGTACCTAGGACAATCTGAGTGTGCCCTGAGAAAGAGATATGTGCAGCTCCTATCGGGATTTGTCGGCACATTCGGGCGGTGTTGCTGGTCTTGTTTTAACCTGTCGAAGTGTCTTGAGCTACCGAGATACCGAGTCTGATCGGAACGTCTTGGGAGGAGGTCTATTCCTTCGTCGACCGTGAGAGCTTGTCATGGGCTAAGTTGGGACTCCCCTGCAGGGATTGAACTTTCGAAAGCCGTGCCCGCGGTTATGGGCAGATGGGAATTTGTTAATGTCCGGTTGTAGATAACTTGAACCTTATTTAATTAAAATGAATCAACTGAGTGTGTTACCGTGATGGCCTCTTCTCGGCGGAGTCCGGGAAGTGGACACAGTGTTGGAGTAATGTTTGCGCAGGTTGCTCTCTAGTTTCTCGCTCGTGCTTTGCCTCCTCTTCTCGCTCTCTTTTGCGTATAAGTTAGCCACCACATATGCTAGTCACTTGCTGCAGCTCCACATATATTTGCCTCACTCCTTCCTATAAGCTTAAATAGTCTTGATCGCGAGGGTGCGAGATTGCTGAGTCCCTGTGGCTCACAGATACTATAACTCCAGATGCAGGTCCAGGTGATTCCGCTCCAGGTGACGAGTACGAGCTCAAGTGGGAGTTCGACGAGGACTCTCAGCGTTATTACGTGTCTTTTCCTGAGGATCAGTAGTGGTGCCTAGTTGGGGTTTGATTCGGGGCCTTGTCGCAGGTTGGGTTTTCTTCTATTTTGGCGCCGTACTCGGGCCATGAGTGTTTGTATGATGGATGTTATTTATGTACTCTGATGTGACGTGGCGAGTGTAAGCCAACTATGTTCTCCCCTTTATTATTCATATTACATGGGATGTTGTGAAGATTGCCTAACTTGCGACACATGACTTCAATGCGATTATGTCTCTAAGTCGTGCCTCGACACGTGAGAGCTATAGTCGCATCGAGGGTGTTACATCCACCAAGACAACCACTGGCCTAATCCCGCAAGATCCACCGAAAACATACCTCCACATGCCCTCCGAAGATGCTAGATGCACCACCAGGACAGGGCCAAGGCGGGAAGAACCTTATTTCATCTTCAAGAAGCCGCATTCGCCTCGTTTGTGAGCGGGACACAATCCCTAACAAGACTTAAAGAAGCACCTGAAAATGGAACCCTCCCGCCGGCAAGGGCCGAAATCCACCATGCACCCATGGCCCTAAGGCCACAGGAGATGTGTCAGATCAGCGGCGCTGCCGAGAAACCCTAGACGTGCAGCGTTAATTAACTCTTTAGACTCTTTCTGCTGGAAATTGATGGTTGTCTTGTTCCTTGGTTACCCCGTCAGCGTTGCCATGGACGGTGGGTCACGGTGGAACAAAGACGATGGGTCACGGTGCAAAGAAGGAAAGGGTTCGAGGGTGAGGGTGAGTCGTTTTGCCGATTTAGAGACATGACTTCGCTTCGCATATCCCACGAGTATGCCATTTTCAGATAACGAGTTGGTCCTTGTTCCTTAGGTTAGGTGGACCAAACGCAAGAACGAACTTTTGATTCGAAATGAACCCATTATGTTTAACATGATTACCCAAGCCAGAACACGCTAGCTTGTCTGGCCCGCGAACCGAGCATAACTTAAATCGTTTAGTTTTTTCTTTGGTGAAATCAGCCCACTGTGGTTCAAGTTCTAGACATTGCCGCTGGAATTCGTTTTAGTTTATTTTAGCATTTTCCGGCGAGGTTGGTTCAATAGCAAGAGACATCTCGGTCGACTATGAGACGTATGTGGTGACTGGGTCAATATCAAGAGGCTGTTCCGGTTTAGTATCTTGGCAGTGCTCGTAACGATAAAATGTGCGTGTATGTTCATAGGAATGGTTGTACGTGCGTGCATGTATTGTATTGTATTGTATTGTGTTATTTTATTTTTGTTTAAAAAAACCTGGGCTGGCCCGTTGAGTTGACGGCCGAAAGACTGAGCTCGGGTTCGGTCCCAGTGGGAAGCTCGGCTTAGCCGGACCGGCTCCGGCCCAAAGCGACCGACCATTCCAAACCCTCGCATCCAAGCCGCCTCCGCCTCCGCCTCCGCCTCCGCCTCCACCTCCCCGCGGATCTCCCATCCATCCATGGCCGCCGCCGCCCCGGCCCGCAGGCTCCTCCTGCGCCTGCGTCTCCCACTCCCCCTCTGCAACCCAGCGCCGTCCCCCGTCCCGCTCCTCTCCCACCTGACGCCGCACCTCCACCCACCACCGCCACCGCAGCCAACGCTCCCGGGCGCCCCGGCCCCGGACCCGAAGCTCCGGGACCTCCTCTTCGCCTTCCACCCCGCCGTGCACGTATACCCGTCCCTCGTCGACGTCCCGAGAGGAGGGCTGGGCGACCTTGACGCGCGCGAGGACGGAGGGGGGGCCAAGGAGGCGGAGGTGTGGGCGGACAGCGTCAAGAAGAAGCGGAAGCGCAAGATGAACAAGCACAAGCTCCGCAAGCTCCGGAAGCGCCTCCGCCGCCAGACCTGAGCTCATGGATCCCGGTGAACACCCGACGCCCCGCGCACTTAGTTTCAGCATTTTGAATTTTAGTTGATTTCATATCCTCCATACATAAAGTGGGGGAGGGGGAATGACGTGAAGTGAAAAATGCTCCGTGTAATGCCTGATCCATAATCACTGTTTGTAGCACATTTCACATGTTTAGGCGATCTTGACACGGCCCCGCTTCGGCGAGGTAAGAGATTGTTGCGCATCCAGAGTACTGTTATTAATAGATGGCGATGCTGTACCCATCCCTATATTGAGGTCTTAGTCTAGATGCCTGCATTTTTCATATTTGACAACTGCTCTGTTACTGTTAGTATGTGTGACCTTGTTTTCAATACTGTTACGTGGCGCTATAGGAGATATGTAGATAGATAGATGCTGCCATTGATAGTTGCATGCTGAAACCAGATTAAACATCTGCCTCTCTAGTCCAAAGATGCAGTTCTACACATGGATCCTTGCGGCTGTGTGAATTAGTCTTTGCACCTCAGGGAACAGCAACACATGTAGAAGTTGCTATCTTACAGTAAACGGTAACACAAAGTGGCGCACACATGCACACATGCACACACGCACGCACGGACAAACTATTCACACTTTCTTCATGTATACCTTGTCCAGTTGCCCACTTTGATCAGTACTATTACCCACTGAACCATGGAAAACAAATGGAGTCATGCTCTGCCCTATTGGTGGGCTAGAGTTTCCATATCTATAATCAGTGGTGTCAGCCATGATTTTAACAGCACAATGTTTGTACCAGTGGGGTTTCTGATCTCATGCCAATCACTTGGATCAAAGTCATGCCATTTTGACAGTACAAAGTTGCTTGTACCCATGGGTTACTTGCGTATCGAACTTCTGATATGTCAACCATAAACCTTATTTCTAGATATACATAGGCACAGAAATATTTAGTGTCCATTGTAGAATCATGCGTTCCCAGTAGGCCCTAAGGGATTTAGTTGCCTGCATACCATAATGTCGTACGAGTAGTTTGATCTGAGCATGTAGGACCTATACTGTTTCACAAACTAATGGATACTTTTGTTTTACTTGACTAGGCTTGAGGATTGTGATTGCAAGGAGGTCCTCCGGTGCCGCTGCCACACCGGTTTCAAGCTGATGGTTTCTTCCAGTTATTTTGGTTTGGTTATAGGAGTAGCAGTTCTGGTACCAACAACGCAATTGCTGCGACTGGGCACGTACCTACAAACACTGTAATGACAAGGAGCCAGGAACGGGCTGTTTCATGTCTGGATTTCTGGCAGGCAAATAAAGCTTCAAATGCCGGTCTAACTCATTTGTACTGTTCTTTCCCCAGATCAATGCTATAACCTCAGTATACTCGTGCCAGAAGAACTTTGTCTTAAATAGTTCATGAGTTGCCCTGAATTTGTGTATGCTATATTCCCAGTTTTGCTTCATTGGCTGGTTCACGAATAGTTACCAGCGGTCGACCCCTTTTGCAAACCATACCTGGCTTTCAAATTTAGCATTTCAGATAGCATTACCTGAAGTTTATTTGTATCTCATTTGCCTGGTGACTGTTAAGAGTGGAATGTTAAGATGTGACTTATATTTCTGGGGTGGTTTCCTTGATCTTGTGCATACTCCATGCCAACAGCACATGGCAGGATCATGTGAACTTAAACAAGATGTTCTAATACGCTTGTGCATTCTGGTTTTTGTAATGGCATTGCAACTCCTTTCTTAAAGACCACAAGATGTTAATGCCCACATGAGAATACAGCTGTGATTTCCTTACTGGTTTGTGGATGAGCTCTCAGCCTAGCCGGCATGGGTTCGAATGTTGGTTCTAACACGGGTCTTTATTAAAAAAAAAGTCAGTAGGGGCTTCTCCCCTACTTGTCTAGTTTATTTGGTTCCTCAAAAAAGTTAAATAGGTTCCTCAAAATGAAAAAAAAAATCGTTGCTGGGTTTTGCTTAGCAGGTGGCATTGCTCAATTGTTTTGACAATATTTGAGCACATTACAAATCAATATCATATCACAAATCATTGTCCATGAAAGATTACAAAGAAATGAAGGATTCAAGGAGCTGCTCCGGGTGAGAATGACATTTACATCGACCCCAAACTCACCAACGGAGCATCTAAATCAATAAGCTGGTTTTGCTGTTTATTCACCTATAAGGTCCAATAAATAGAGAGTTACATCATTGTGTGTCGAACGCATCTATTAGTTGCTGAATAACACCATCTATCGCCAGATGGGACCAAAGGCACCGCTCATATTTCTTGGCTGAAGTATTGTAGATGCCTCTCTAAGACGAGGCATTGTGTAGGAATGTGTCGAATATTCGACAGAGCAGTTGGATAAATCCTCAGAAGTATCGAATTGGACCATCCAGGCTGCCAGAGGCAAACTGCAGATATCAAAATAACCACACGGTAAGACAAAACCTACTGAGAACGAATACCTCCGAAACAAGGTTCCAGCAAATTGAGGCATGAACTGGATTACCTGCTGTACAATGGGATTTGTTGATGTCATGAATTCTTCTGTCATCCCTTCCCAAACTATCTTTCCCTCATGGAGAAACAACAACCTGAACATTTAAAAACATGGTCCTCAGCCTAACAATTAACCAACAGAAAGTTCCAAAGCACAGAGGAACAAAACAGTTCCAGCCAATACCTATCAACAGCTCTTCTTATTGTGCTATGCTGATGAGTGACAACCGCATACGATGCTATCTTTCCTGGCTTACCCATAGCATCTTTCCCTGTCACGTGCATGGAACGTATAAGGTCTTCAACGACAGTGGATGCTATAGGGTCAAGCCCAGCTGTAGGTTCATCGTATAAAAGAACCTGACAGAAGAAAATTGACTATAAGTTCACAAAGACAACTAAAAAGCAAGCTAAGCTGTCTGATCTCCTGGTATTTCAGAAATGCTTCCGATGATTCGGTAACTTACAACTGATAAGGGCATACCTCTGGCTCTATTGTTTCTTTTGTGTCATCATTTATTATTGAACGAGCAAGGGCTACACGCTTTTTCATGCCTCCGGATAATTCAGATGGCATTCGCTCCTCGACACCCTGCACACATTACATGATAATCTGCATTACAATCAAGTACTAGCAGGAAACTAATGCTCTTCTGGACCTATCAAAGCTAATAACAATAATCTAGAATACTTCAACTATGTTTTCTCTGAAATACACAGAAAACAGAGATATCATATACAAATATTAAGCAATATTCCGTGGAAATATGTTTCCAACTGCAATGCCTGTCACTCCAGTAAAAGGTTAACTTAAGTAAGATAAAAGCTTAACTTACTTTTAGGCCTACTGCAGCCAATGTTTCCGTCACTAGTGCACCTATTCGCTCCTCAGACAACTTGGAGTTTTCATATCTAAAAGCAAAGACCAGAGGAAATAGATCAGATCAATCTTGAAAACTAAGTACGCTCAAGGAAACTGGAAAGGAAGTTCCTTACAAAAGAAATCCAACGTTTTCACGAACATTGAGAGAATCAAACAATGCCGCACTTTGAAATACCTGCATAAGGAATTTCACACAAATTTATCATGAAAATCTGGATGAGAAGATAATCATGCCGTTCCATTCCACAAATGCATGGATACAATTAGGAAGTATACCAAGCCAATCCGGAGACCTGATATATCCTCATCACTAACTAAGCCCTGTCTTTTCTTTCCGCATATGAATACCTCGCCCTGCTCATATGTTGCAAAACAGCCATGAATAATGAATGACAATCAGTATCTCATCAAAAGTGTACCTCCCCAAAACCATACTAGTAACAGAGATAAATTGGGAAAATGGGACAACCTTATCAGGGGCTAGAAGGCCCGCCATAACCTTCAAAATAGTTGATTTGCCAGTTCCCGAAGGACCGATTATTCCAACAGCTTCACCATGTCTAATCTACATAATAATGTAAGTATCATTTTGGATCATAAGTGAAATTGCTGAGTAAATGCTAACGCAGCCCAAGAACTCTCATAATATAACTTAAACCCATACTAATTAAGATGCAGCGTGACTGCTTTGTGGATAGTACGAGCAACGTAAGAGAACTAGTGACTAGACTGCCCAAGGTAACAGAAATACAACATGATTCACAGTTCTATATGTATTGACAAGTTACAGTACGAAGCCTGCATTGCATCATAAGATGGATTTGAAAAACATCTAAGGGCATCTCAAACGCGTAATTTGCCATCCAACGCAGTACCCCATCGGTTCGCCGACG